AGCCTGCTTCTCCCTCTCCCACTCCCCCTTCTTGTGTTCCCTCTCTCGCTGTGTCTCTCTCTTTCAAATAAATAAATAAAGTCTTTAAAAAAAAAAATAAATAAATAAAATAAAATAAAATAGGGATGATTACTGCCATTTAAAAAGGCTTAATTTTTTTCCAAAAGCATTTTAAGCATAATACCTTGTAAAGATGCATAATGTTATGACTGTTAAAAAGCTATTTAGGACAAAATATTTGTGAAGTGAAACAGGACCTGTGACACACAAATCATTAATACAACAGGAATGCACTTAAATTTCGCTTTCAGCCTTACCCAAGTTTTTCAGCAAGTGAACATGTGTGCAGGCCCTGATCATGTTAGGGAAGAATATAATCTCTAAAGCAATAGAAATGAGATGAAACAGGGAGGAAAACAGCACTAGGGGAAATGTCTGGGGTCAGTGGAGACTTCTTGCCTTCAGCTATACATCTTGCCATTAGAGAAAATGCAAGCCACAATATGCAGGAGTAAATAGTAAAAAAATCAGGCTACCACATCAAACATTCATAGGTAAGACTTTGTACAAGAAGTTAGAAAGCTTAAATAATATTGAAAATACACAGGAGAATTCCAAAAACAATTTTAAGTGTATTACATAAGGGAAGCCACGTGCTTAAGTAAAAAGATAAATAGAAACAATTATTATAGACAAATAAATGAGCAAACATAGCCTCCAGAAGTGTGAACCAACCAAGAACATGAGTTTGCCTAGAGCAGTTGCTCCTCTCCAGGGCATGCGGTATGAGAACTGAGCCAGTGCCATTGAGGGCTACAGAGACGAGGCTATCCAGAGCTGTGATGTTCACAGGTGCCTTGCTGTGATGCCTGGCACAGCTACACCCATCTATTATAGGGGATTCTTACTTCCCAACATTGAAAATGACCTGAAAGAAGGGGATGTGGGAGAAAGTGAATAGGGGAAAGCCATGGTCAGTGCAATGATAGACCTTGTCTAGTCCTACAAGTATTTTATATTTCAAAGACCAAAGAGAAAATCTGAGAACAGCAAACACAGATGAATGCAAATCTTTATTTTTCTAAACTCAAGTCACTTTTTACAAGGGGCTTGCATTATTAAAAATATCACAGTGATCTATTTTACGTCTAAGTTGGTGTATACAGGAATCAAATGTAAAATGACTCTCATAGTTTCAAACAATAGATTTTATTTATTTATTCAAGAGCAAGAGAGAG